AGAAATCATGACTGCATCCAGTTGGAATATTCATTCTCTGGTATGTGACACTACTCATGAAGCACATAAAGGTCAGGCTTATGTTTAATAGCTTCACACTGAAAAATGTAACACTGTAACTGGAGGAACTTTGTATAGTACCAAGTTCCAGGGCACCTTCATTTCATGTTTTGGGGGAGAATTGAGTTGTCAGTGGTTTGAAGCCATTAGTGTAGATGTCTCATTGTTCTGCACTGAGATCAGCTTTTGGAATGGGCTCAGGAACTCAAGTCCTTGTGTTGACTGGAAAGCCTCATGCTCTGAGCCTGCTGCTCTGCTGGGTGGGTGACACCTGTCCAGTGCCCACATCTAAGGTCAGTTGGAACCATAATGGTTATGCCCTTTCATTTCGAAAGGCTATTTGAATCCACTAATAGAAAATGAAGATCTGTTGATAAAATGATTTAACTGTTTTCCAGTGGTGGGGAAAATGATGATGACTCTGACCAGAACTGGAAACCACCAGAAAATGACCTGATCCAGAAGTTAATAGCACAGATTGAATATTACTTCTCAGATGAGAACCTTGAGAAAGATGCCTTCCTTCTGAAGCATGTGAGAAGAAATAAGATGGGCTATGTCAGTGTTAAACTCCTCACTTCATTTAAGAAGGTAAGCTAACTTTTTAAGACTTGAAGGTTCTCATGCAAGCCTGATGAATCTAAAAACAGTAGAAGAGATTAAAGTAACATTTTATACAGGCAACTTTATAGTCTTTATCTGGGTTTGCTATGATGGTTAGGTTTGTACTCATCCAGAACTTTCACTGCTGAACTCATTGATGATTGGCTAGGGAAATAATTGGCTTAAAAGCCTCTATGCTTTTAAATTATCATTCTTTGAGACAGGAGGACATTAGATAAAATTAATTTCCATGGCAACTACTCATGAACAGCTGGGTAATCCTGGTAAAGTTATGTTCCTGTCTCTGAAAAGGAACAGTGAATCTGACTTTTGGACAGAGAACTAAAAGTGAAGAGTAGTATAAAGTATCTGGTAACCAATGTGCCTTAGACTTGGAGTTTTATTTTTTTTTCTCCTTACATTAGAAAGACCTATATAAATCTGTACATAACTGATTTCTAGAATTACACTAGAAACACTTTGTCAAGATTCTATATCTCATTGTTTTGCAGAGTTATTCAGTCTAGAAGTTAAGGCACTCTCAATTTCCTCAAACCACTTCAGATTATACTGGTAACAGATAAACCCTTTATAAACATTTAATGAAAATTGAAAAGTTTGGGGTGTTTTCTAGACTGTGATTTTTGAGGGAGAAAAGATCAGTTCAATACAACGAAGACTTAAACTTAACAAAACTTGTTGTTTGGCAAAGGTAACCTCCCAAGAACATACATTTTGATCACAGTTCAGGTTTAGATGTGGAATGACCAAGCACTACTTGAGCAGGCTTTCAGATGTAGTAATGATTCCCAGTTTGAGCTTTAGTGCCAGTTCCTGTTTTCATTTGATTCATCAGGACATGAGCTTGACAGGAGCTCACTGATGCCCATTATTGCATGAAAACTGTATACTTTCTCACTAAGTCTGCTACATGAAACTTAAATCCAGGGTTCTGCTTGTAGACTGAAGCCTGCATCTGCCTTAAAATTCAGTGACTAGTTTGATTGGGTTTGCTCAGTTGTGTGCTTAACCTGTGTCTGTCCCGAAGGTGAAACACCTTACCCGTGACTGGAGAACCACAGCCTATGCACTGAAGTACTCCAGCACTCTGGAGCTCAATGATGATAACAAAAAGGTTCGAAGAAATACTCCAGTTCCAGTGTTTCCAAGTGAAAATGTCCCTACCAGGATGCTACTGGTGTATGATATCCACATGATTCCTGAGCTGCAGGCCCTTAACAAAGAAGAAAACGGATGCATGCAAGAAAGGATAATGGAGCACCTCCTCAAAGCCTTTGTAACTTTTGGTGCAATTTCATCAGTTCGTATTCTCAAGCCTGGCAGGGATCTCCCACTTGATATCAGGAGGGTCAGCAATAGGTACACCCAGCTGGGAACCCAGGAATGTGCAATTATAGAATTTGAAGAAGTAGAAGCTGCTGTACGTGCTCATGAGTTCACGTGTGCTGAAAACAAAGAGACCGGCATGAAGGTTGTCCAAATAGGCATGAAACCACCAAAGAAAAAAGTTCCCAAAGACAAGAACCGTGATGAAGATACCAGCAAGAGCCTTAAGAAGGCTCGATCTCTTAACAAGAGAGTTGAGGAACTTCAGTTTGCTGGTGATGAATCTTCAGCCAACAGCTCTTCTGACCCGGAGAGCAATCCCACGTCACCGCGATCAGGACGCAAACGTACCACAGCAAATACCACGAGTAATCTGAGCCCCATCATCCACCCTAACAACCATTTGAGTCCTAACATGTCACCCAGATCAAGTCCTTGGAACAGTCCATCTTCACTAAGAAAAGGAACCAAAAAATCTCCACTGGCTGAAGACAGCAAGCTGAACGCAAGCACTAGCCCTGAAATTCCAATGAAATACACTGATTATTCCTCAGATAGCAGCATCACTCCTTCTGGGAGCCCCTGGGTGCAGAGAAGGAAAGCACAAACTCTGACCCAAGAGAAGAGCCCTGTCAGCAGCCCCATGTTGGCTCGGAAAATACAAAATGCAGACGGTCTCCCTGTAGGGGTGCTGAGGCTGCCTAAAGGTCCTGATGGCACCAAAGGATTCCACAACGGCTGTGAAAGAAGGAAGGCTATGAAGGGTGAATAGACTATTCTTTAAAAAAAGTTTCACAAATCAGCCAACTGCCGGTGACCAAGCCTGATGGAAAACTGTCACTTGAGTGACTCAGTTAAGTCAGTATTTAATTTTAAAAGCTTTTGTATTTATATAGAGACTTTATCATTTGTATATTTGTATATTTTCTTCACAGAACAGATGAGGCTGGAAGGCATCTCTGGAGCCTGCCCAGTCCACCTCCTTTGCTAAAGCTACAAGTCATTGATAGGTTTGAGTGTCTGCAAGGACAGACTCCCCAGCCTGTCTGGGTGAGCATTCCCTTGTTCAGCCACCCACACAGAACCAGTCTGTGCCCCTTCTCCTGTTACTGGGTATTGCTGAGAAGTACCTGGCTCCATCTTTACTTCTTCTCATCAGATATTTAAAAACCTTGACGAGATCTTCCCCTAGAGCCCTCTCCACTCCAATCTAACCAGTGCCCACTCTCTAGGGCTCACAGGAGGGATGTGCCAGCCTTTTAATCAGCTGAATCACTTAGCTAATGCAGGGTCCCTACCTGCATCCATTCTTTTTAATGTATTATTTTGAAACACCTAAATATTCAAGCAGCCATATGAATCATTGATGTAAGTACATTATCTGCCAAGCTAGGATCCTGAGGAGCAGTGTGTACTTACACTTTAGTGGCTATATTATGAAAAGCTATGGAATGTTACCAGTCTCATCACAGGGAGCTGAGGTTTTGAGGACTGCCTGTGTTTGCCTCAGAAGGAACAGAGAAACCAATGCCACAGTGAGCAATTGTTCTCACATACATCACCAAAGCTGTATTGTTCAAGACTGCTTGTATTGAACCAGTGTGCATTTTCATGACTAAGGACTCTGAGCATTGGAAACTGCTCTGTAAGTGTTCTCTTGTATAATCAGATGGAAATAAAAATATTAACTCTAGATCTGTTTTGTTTACTTAAAAAATAAGTTGAGCTGCACATGAATAGATAACTTAAACCTCACCTTATACCACATGAAATTCCAGTAGCAGTTACTCAAAATTCCCATTGCATTCAGGGAAAAAATCTTCCCTGCCCCATTACTGATGGCTAATTCTGTGATGATGCTTCACTCTGTGTCACAGTCATTTTTATTCAATATCATAAACTAAACAGTAGTCTGTAGATTTGACAAGCAGGCACAGCAAGAAGTGCTTAAATTAAAATTAACTATAATGCTACATGAAGTCAAAGAAGGAAACTGCAGTTTTATTTACAAAAGTTAAACTGGAAAACTAGCCCAGGGACACTAAGAGGATTTCAAGTTGAAATGGTCATCTTGGGAACTGTGCACGACATCAGATGGTGATTCCTCATTCCAAAAGTCCACATCCTGTCCAACTTCCTAAGTGTAACATTTCTGCTGTGTAAATAACTGCAGTAACTCACAGTTAGACTCCTATACACAGAAATGCCAGCTCTGTGTGTTGCTCTTTAGCCACCCATGTACATTCCTGGTTCTTCCACTGCACACAGATGGAATCCTCCAGGTGACCTTCTGACTCCTATGACACAAACTGCAGCATGTGCACATTCACAGACTTTGTGAGCTCTCAGCACCAGAACACACAGACAGGTTCTTGGAGAGGGCAGAGTGAGCCCTGTGGCTGCCCAGGACAGGAGAGCCAGGGGCTGCCACAGCAGCAGGGAGAGGCTGGCAGGCAGCATGGTACCCAGGGACTCACCCCACACAATCCTGCTTCTCTTCTGTACAGCTCAAAAACACACATGCACTCCTTGAAGTAGTGGTTTCAAAGACATGGAGCTTCAGGCTATTTTTATTCCTTTTTTTACACAACAAACAGCAACTCTAAAAAGCATTTTAAGAATGAGACCACTTTGCCAAGTAGCTCAGTTACTGAAGGCATTCAAGATTCTTAAGTGCCTACACACCACCAGTGCCCAGGGCACCAGCAGAGACCCCCAAGTGCTACTCAACCCACAGCAGCTTTAGTCATACATGTACAGCAATAAAAACAGATACAACATTAATTCCTTGGTATAAATATTTAGTTCTCCCTGAGTTGGTTTCTGTCTTCACATTCAGTCAAGAGCTCAAAACCTGAAAATAATACAAACCCCGAAAACACACACCACACATTCAAATTGCTTGGCTGAATGCTGCCAACAGAGATGTTTTAAACACCAATAGCTCTGTCTTTATTTTGTTCCAGCTCTTCAATGTTTATATTATGATGATATATTTCAATTAAGTATTTTTAAAATGTTATATCAACTCAAGAGAAACAAGGTGACAACACATCTGGCATTTTAGTCACTGCATGAGAACCCCTCTCACCTACCAAAAGAACATTTGCTTCTGTCCCCAGTTAGAAGGGATGCATTCCAGTTGCTTTCAATTCATACAGGCAGTTTATGGCTGGGTTAAAAACCCTGAGGTCTGAAAAAAGCTGGGGACTTCAGTGAAAAAAGCTTATTAACTTAGCTAATACACCAGAGCTATTCAGGACAACAGTCTGGTTAATCAAACAGAGCTGGCTTCAGCTTACACCATTGCTCCCTCAGCTTGGATTTTACTGCATTTGAAGCAAAAATATAGTTGATTGATTCATAGGAAAGATCCCACATCTGTGATCGAGTCAGATTAAATGTTTTTGCAACCAGCTCATATTCTTGCGATAGGTCAGTGGCGAAGACACCTTTGTCATCAGTCTGGAGTTAAATTGAAAGGAAAGAAATAAAATGTTTAAATTAGTTCCTCTGTATCAAAAAGGTTTCTTTCTATACAAACAAACCAGTTCTATCTTGCTGTCTCACATTTTATTCTGCTGTTCTTTCATCTCTGCATGGTTATTTAATTCTCTATTTGCCCTATTTTCACTAGAAATGAATAAATTATTCAAACATATAAGAAAACTTCTTAAAATGATGGCACAATTCATCAAGAAAATAGGATTTCCTATTAAAATTGCTAGAAAGATGGGTATCAAATGATGCATATATTCAAGGTATATCACTAGGTGCAGATCTTCTTATTCCTCTTTTCCCTTTCCCCAGATAAGCAGTGCTATCAAATATATATATATTTATAAACATTCACTTGAACAATGCTATGGATTATGGGGGTTAAACTAACAGGATAGTACTAAAACACTGCCAATGGCAGCACAAGTACTTGGCACCTGCAATGCTTAAAGACCTTAATGAGCTATCAAGAGAACTGTCAAGAGCAGGAGCTCTCACCCAGCACAAGGAACACCAGGTAAGCAGAGCTGCATATGCAAGCACTGGAGCCACTGGTTGTAAGAGAAATCTGCCATTGTGCAAAGAGCTATGAAGTTCACTGCTTGTATAGCTGGATCATTTTATCCCACAGAAAAAAGTCCTGGCTTTACAATAGAACCAAGATAAATACTAGCAATTCCCATTTGAATTAAAAGCATTTCTCAAACTTAACATTATGATTTCCTAAAAGCAAATTATTTGCTACAAGGTCAGAAATTGTAAGTCAGTTCTAATCCATAAACAGATAAAAACTTTTCCAACTTCACTTAGCCCTTTGCTTAAATACATGCTTAAAAGTCAAAAAGCTTACACAAAGCACTGCAGGATGGCCCAAGCTGTACCAGTATCCAAAATGGTGTTTGTCACAGGAAGGCACTGTCTGAGATTTTATGTTTGATGTCATGCAAAATTCTAAGGGAAAAACAGAAAAAGAAATTAGGACATATATTAAAACAAGAGGCATGTTAATTGATTTAGGAAGGTCCTGAATAAAAATTTAAATCAGCTACTGTTGATTTTCTACACTTATTTTGTAATTTCTCTTGAGAAAAGTTTGCTGATTGATTTCTTTGGGTATAAAATTTAGGGAGCTTGCAAACTAGGTACAGAGCCACCACACAGTCTTGTACAGTAATGACCAATTATGATTTGGGATTTGGTTTTGCTTCCATCTGAGACACAGATGGAAGCAAAACTGCTGCCACAAAGGTGCCAAAAACCCCACAATTGTCATGAGTGTACCTTTATGGGCAAGTCTCACTGCCGCATTTCTCCAAGTCACCTTGGTGATACACAAACTGGTGTCACTAGATCAGCAGCACATATCCTGTTCTGATATCCAGAGATAAAGTCATTTTAAATACTTTTTTCCTTACCAATAGGTATATGATTCTGCTGAACCAGTGACACTATCTCTTCAGAACCTGCTGCTGTGGAGTTGAGAAATGTTCCATGTCCAATTCTGTCAGGAGGCAGGCCCAGGAGAATCCTGGTCTCCTCTTCTTGATTTGGAATCTAGAGAGGATATATGTCACATTCTGTCAAGGCAGCATAAACCAGCACATTATATAATTACAATGGACTTTCAGTTCTATTTTCACAGCATCTCTTACCCAAAAGAAAGTGTTAGTGAAATAGAAATAAGTATAAATATGCTGATGACATCATATGTCCTGGGTAATTTCCTGAAAAAATAACTATCTTCAGTAATTATTTGGCTTCTCGGAGCCAATTCCAGCCACCATTTGAACAAAAGCTCAACTCTTTCTACTGTTCCCAGTGGAAATAACAGAGCTCACTGCTCATAAAACTGTATGGATTTCACTACACATGATTGCTGATCTTAATATCAGAAAGAAAGCAGTGGATCTCTTAGAAAGCTCCTAATTTCACACCTAAACCCACAATTTCTATAGTGCTGGAAGAAATAATCAGGCTATTCAGATTTAGAACCAAAGGTTGAAGATTTCTCCTTGTTTTCTTGTCTCAAATGCCCCAAACCATTAATACTTTGGCCTGAGAAGTCAAAAATGCACAGAAGGTAACTTTAGTTTCATCAAGATTTTCACAAAATTAGAATTACAGAGAAGCACCAAAATAAAAAAAAACCTGGTACCTCACAAAGATGCAGTGCCAGCTTCAGACCTGCTTTTTTTGCTTCAGAGAGCGGCTCCAAAAAATCTTGACCATGTCCTGCCTGGAAAACAGGAACACATAACTATTCTACAGCTTATTTGACAAAATCCCTGTCATTACCATAATTAAGAAGTCTAGCAACATCCAAACACTACATTCAAACACAGTTACATTTAAATTATTCCACTTTTCCCATTATTTCAGTGTGGAAGGTAGCAAGACAAACAAGCCTGTGCCCAGTAGCTCAGGTGATGCCTGACTTCCAAGCCAATTGTCCTGATTCTGGTACCTTTTACACAGCTACCACCTAGAGCTATTTCACTTCAGCTTGGGGACAGCTGTTCTCAAACATTTTTGCTTTCTTAATATGAAATGAACACTTGGTGTAGTAAACAAAATGTGAACTATTGACAACTTGCCTCCACCCAGTTTTCTGGGACAATTGAGGTACACAGACTTCCCAGATAAACATCACATTTCAATGGCTCTTTTCTCATTCACACACTAATCTAAGGGATTTTTGTTAGAGTATCTACCCCTTACAGCAACAGGGATTAACCCAGTATCAATCCATTCCAGCTAGGCACAAAAACTTGTGAGAAAAAACTATGATTAGAACCACCTGCTGTTACACAACATTCGCTATCACACTATCTTCAAGAACACACTAAAATTAACCAAAAACTTACAGTGGGATCACCACTGAGGTCAAGTCCTACTACAACCCCATCACTGGAAAGCAGGAACTCTTCAGCCAGTTTAACAGTCTGCTTAGCAACTGCTGGGCCATCTCTTCTGTTTATTGCTATTAACAGCCTGGGACAGATATGTATTAAATTATTAAATTAAATTATTATTAAATCATTTACAAGATGTATTATCAAGAGCTCAACAGATCTGATACCAAAAAAAAAATGGCAATTCATATCCTTCATGGCTGAGTATGAAGAGTATTTGTATAGGAGACTATTCTAGGAATGAAGGTACCAAAGTGCAGAGGGCCACAGATAAATAAGTTGGCACATGATTTGCAATAACACACATGAAGGATGAAAATTCTTCAACTTTCACAAACAAATCTAGTAAGGGTTGCTACAGAGGCTCTAAAAGACAGGAGAGCAAACTGTCTGCAAACAGCCACTGACACCCTCTGAAACTTCTCTGCTGCTCAAGACCAGCTGTTCTTTACAGCAGGTGCTTGTACAGCTAATCAAACTAAATCTTTGCAATGAAGCTAAGCTGTGAAAAAGGAGCCAAGTTCTTTTCCTGAAAACGTTGCAAGGAATGAACAGTCTTAAAGATGAGAGGTTTTACCTGGTTTTCTTCTTTACCAGTAAAAAAAGAAGATAAAAAGTTAGGTCTCCATAAATTACGTGTTTCCACTCCATGGAATCTGGTTTAAAAACAATTTTCTTTCCTATATTGATGGCTTGTAAACCTCTCTGCAAGCATGACCAAGCATCAGACTACACAAACCCTTGAAACAGAGGTGTTCCACATGCTTTATTTACCTTACATCTATATCCAAGCCTTCTTCTTGACACTGCTTTATACCCTCAAGTACAGTTTCAACATACATCCTTTTGGTCATACCTGCAAACACATGCACACGTTTGGAACAAACATATTTTAAATTATTTTTATTATATTGCAGATCCAGCTCTCTAGTCTCCTAAGTTTCATGTTGCACCTTTAATTTTAGATGATACAGTCTTCTAACCCATGTAATTCTAATTCTGTCTGTAAATACAGCTTTACTGTGAAGCACATATTTGAACTAAACCTCTTCCTAATTTGTGTGAACCAGAGAATCACAATAGGACTTCTATTATGTGTTTCTACTAAAATACACCTAGAAGAAAAAATCAAAACAACAAAAGTAAAATATATCAGCTATTAAAAATATTAGCAGGCTCAGATGCCACACTCAAGTGAATAAGCCAATCTCATGGGTCATAGACTTATGACCAACCCCTTTTTTCCCTCAAAAATCTAATAGGAAAGTGACATGCTTTTGCATGGTTAAATCTTACCTTTCATATTTAAAGTATATTTTTATTGAGCCAACTAAATTTGACTTTACTTGTTATTAACATAGCCTTCAACTAAGTTTTATAGTGCGAGAAGATGTCAAATTAAAAACCAGAAAAGACTGTACCTGTGGCATTTTCTTCTCTTGGAGTGCTTCTCAATTCCAGATACTTAACACCATCATCAGCAAATTCTTTAATGACATCTTTAGTTATCTGATTAAGTAAAAGTGTATTTAACATCATAAAAGTGATACTTATAATTAGTTATATTTTCATTTACAACTAAAAGACCCAGTTGTTTTTTGTTGTGAAACACTTGCAATGTTTTCAGGCCCAATGTATTTATAATGGTCCCCATATCTGTGGAAATACTACCACACAGAAGGCACATTCGATTCCTTCAAATGAGATAGTGAAGAGAGTTCAAGAGTTTTACAATAATTATTCTGACCTTCAATTGAAAAAGATCATTTTTGATATTGTTACTTGGAACCCAATGCTCTTAATCCAACCCGTTGTGACTGTTTGTACTGCTTGCTTGTTTGCAATGAACTTTTAATTAATTTACCAGTAAAATATCTTCAGTCCTCGTGGTAACCTGATAGATGATCTGAAACATCTGAAAACATCTAAAATAAAATTTAAAAAATTAATTGGAAAGGCATTGAAAGAGTACGTAGAAAAAAAAAAATCTACATTTTAAAAACACTTGCCCACTGGAGTCAACTAACCAGACTGTAGCTTGAAATACAAAGAAACATCTGAATGGAATTTCTGATTTTAGATACTAACAAAGCGTTTGCAACAAAAGTTGTAACTACCACAAAGCTTTTTGAAGGAAAAGGAAAACATGAAGTTTCCAAAAAAAGGAAACTATGTGCATCAATTTTTGCTGAAAAGCAGATGATCTAAGTGAAAAATTTCAATCCTTTAAAGAAATGAATCAACAAGAGTTTTCCTTTTAGTTTGCAAGCACTGAAGAAATTACTCTGTAGATACAAATATTAAAAAGATATATGAGATTATGCTGTAAATCTTAAAAGCATGTTTTCTGCAGTTAATGTGTAAGGCCACACATCTCTGTTTTCAACTTAAATAAAAAACCTTTGGTAAATGTTCATCACACACATGCATATACTCACTCATCTAAGGTTCTTTTCTTTCCTTTGTCAATCACAGTCATTCCATTCTGGATCTGAAGGTTTGGCTTCTGGGCCATGAGCTTCTTCATAGTAGCAGTACTGATACAGCCATTCAAATGAGCATGGAGTTCCTACATAAATAAAAATCCTATGGACTTATGAAAAGGATGGCACCTGCACCTCATTTGTACTTCTGTTCTTGTAGCCTACATCAGTGTTTCACTCTGAGCTTGAAAAGAACAGTTATCTGCATTTTGGCTAATAATAACTTCCTTAGGTTTCTGCAACTGGTTCAGCTGAGAACTGCCCTATTTCTTTGGTGGCTGCTGTTGGCTCAGGTCTCCATGGGAGCACAGCTGGCTCAGCAAAGAGGTCTACAGACAATTCTTGGGATGGTGTGATCCAAGGTGAGGAGAAAGCCAATAGCTGCCTCAGTATTACAAAAGGTACAGTAAGGATTCAAGAACTCTCCACATCCACTGCAAATTAAATGCACACGTCCATCACTCAAATATAGCAACAGGTATCTACCCACTCCCCTTGCTTTTGCTCATACTCTGAAGTTTAAACTCACTCCAGAAACGTAGCAAGACTCTGACACGAGCAGCAACTGCAGAAACTGCACTGCTTTGCCTGAGGCCTCTTTCTGCCTGACTTTCTATTGCCATCCTGACTTCGGGCTCCAAACCTATGATCCTCAGCTCCACTCAATCACTTCACCTTCTCTCCTTCTTATCTCCGGGCTCCTGACCTAAGGAACGAGTCTCTAGCGCCCTCCCAGCTCGTTCAAAATGTATCCACAAAGCATCTACTTTGTTACCTACCTATCGTCTCCCTGTATACATCCATTCTCAATAGAAAAAATTTATTAAATACTTCTCTTCAAGCTTTACATTAGAAAACAAATTGTAAGCACCAGAAGCTGTGGCTGCTTACAGATTCTGATGACCGAGCCAGATATACAGTGCTACAACTGTGTTATATTTTTCACAAGCTTACAATTACCTCACAGAATTCTGTCAGACATTAAACATACACCTTGGAAAGCAACTTGGTGAAAAGGATCACTGGAATGCCAGGATGGTGTGGTCTGAAGCGGGTTTGGTGGTTGCCCATGCACTGCCTGTGCAGAGCTCTGTGCTGGAGTACGTGCCCTCGGGGTTGGTGAATGCGGCACACGAGCCGCGATAAATCCACACACACCCCCACGGAAGGCTTGCACTGATATGCCAGAAGTAAGGCACACCCTCGGGACATGGAGAAAAAGCGTTATCTGAGCCAGACTACTTGGCTAGACTGAGGGGAAATAGGTGGAAAAGAGAAAATGAAGATCGCGCTCAACTGATTTAATTGCAATTAGATTAGTAAGGTCTGTAAGCAAACCAGACGGGCAAACACCCGATGCATTTTGCGGTGAGATAAGGCCCTCAGAAACCGCGCGTTTGGCAAGAACTCCGAGACAGCAGCAGCGTCTGTCGCTCTGGCTGCCTGTCCGTCTGCAGCCCGAGCCCGGTGCCGCCGCAGGAGGGTCCGGGCCCGCCGCCCCCCGCCGCTCACCGCTTTGGGCAGCCGTCGGTAGAAGCGCAGCTCCCGCTCGCGGTCCCGCTCTGCCGCCATGCTGGCTCCTGTGCCGGCGGGGCGGGACGAGCCGGGGCTCGGCGGCGGCACCGCCCCGGGCCCGCCCCCAGCACCGCCCCAACCCGGCCCCGAGTCCGCCCCCGGCACCGTCCAGCGCGGGGCCGCGGCCGCCGCTCCGCCCGCCCCCCGCCGCTGCAGCGGGACCGAGCCGGGCCCGCGACAAACAGTGTCAGCATTAACGGCAGGAAAGCTTCCAGGGGCAGTTTATTGAAGCGATTCCATTTCCGGCCCGACGGCTCCGCAGCGCTCCAGCCCCGCGCCAGGGGCACGCACGCACGGCCGCGCATCCACCGCGACTGCACAAAGCTGTCCTGCAATGGCACTAGTCCGCTACATTATCGCGTCACAAAGTCCTAAGAGGATAAACTCATCGATTATATTGCCAACCCGTTTTTAAAGTAATTTGGCAAGCTCGCTAGCACAAGAATAGGAACTGTAACTGTCACAGATATGTTGGTCAAACCGAAACAAAACAGAGTTATTCCAGAACAATCAAAAAATCTATTTCAATTATTTCATATTTAGCGTTTAGAGATACTGCAGTCTAATTCTAAACTCCTCCACAATTTAAAGTCGAGTCCCTAAGCAGATATTGGCCAAGAAGATAATGTAATTAACATAATAAAACATGGTGATTTACATACCACCCACATAACTCAGGCAAATAAATTATCCTCCCACAAATACAAAAAAAATCCTGACATATTTAGGGAAGTTAGCTTTAGAGTTAAATTCAAGCATAGAAATATGAAGTAAACAACTCAGTATTCAAGTTAGTTTACAGCTCTTTGGGGGCCTGACAGATCATCCAAGCTCAAAGACAGTGGAGAATTTGGTTAGCTGCTCAACCTTTTTTCATAGAAAAATACCATGTCTATAGAAGAAATGAAATTAATTTCAACTTACTCAGTGATCCACTCCTTTATTTGACCTTAGTTAAAGGCAAACCAAGTACAGATACTGTACATTAAAATGTATGCACATAGAACAAACAGTTGTTCTTCATTCTACCTTAAAGGCTCAAACCTCCACACTTGTTTATTTAGAGCCCTTTGCAGGCAATGACTCCTCTCAGAAACACATTGCACCCACATTTAAATATAGAGAGATCCATCTGCAGGTCCCACATAGCCAACACCTATTAGCAGCACATCAATCAGTGTCCATATTCCAAGTCCACCGAAGCTGAAGAGTTTTCCCAGACCTTCCCGCCACTGACCCAAATAGAAACGATCGGCACCAAATCCACCAAGGGTGATGCTAAAAGAATAAAATATGATTAATTATTATTATCTTTAGAGGAACTGAGCTTGGGTACCTAAGTGTTTTTCCTCCAGCTGTGTTTGCTGAAGACAGCCAGCACTGTTGCATGTGAACCCTTCATGCATTCTATACTCATCATTTCAAGCTAGGCTATCTGAAATACTGATTATCCAGCACACCTTTAAAAAATACCAAGCAAAAAAACCACAGAACCTGAAGATTTTAAAGAAAACAAATCTATTTTAGCTTGACATTATTCCTGCTTACCTTAGTGCCAAGGCAGTAGACCACTTATAACCTCCAGTCCAGTTGCAATAGAGCATCTTAGGAAAGACACGGTTACCTAAACATTAGAAAATATTAAAACCTTAATGCAATAAACAAAGATCATATTATAAGAAAGAAAACGACAAGGAAGAAGATACTACATTTTTCCAAAAGGAGTCTCAAAGGGTTGTCACTAACTGAGAAACAATTGTCAACATACAAGCTCATTTATACCCTGCAGTTCTCTGTTCCAGCAGTCTTGGTCCCATATCAGAAGAGTCAGTGAACAGAGGGAAAATTAAGCCTAGTTGGATGGAATCAGCATAATTTTTTTTAAATTGGCCTATGGAGACACTTGATATTGATTCTATTAATGGTCTGAGAATCAGACCACTAATAGGTTCAGGTAATTTTAACTCACAGATGTTGGCAAAAATAAAAAGAACTGTTTTCTCTGGTGTGACAGTACACAACAATACAATAAGTCAATGTCTACAATTAGATGTCACTATTATGCTAAAAAATGAAATGCAACAATAAAAAAATTCAGTAGATTGATCAAGGAGCTGTTTTGCAAAAGGACATAAACGATCTTTGTATTCACCCATTACAAACCATGTGGAAAATTCTTTCGAGCACTCCAGCTTTGCCCACCTTACCCAGACAATGAATGTGATCCCGGACTGTGCAGGTTGCATTGTATCGCTGTCGAGGGCAGGAAACTGTCATGCAGTTTGTGGAATTGGTACACACATAATCACTTGTGGCCAGCTGCCAGCAAAACTGGCACGTCATGTTAATTGTAAAGTTCTCCTGCTCGTGGTTATTCTCATCCTGTAAAAGGACAGCACTATTACTTCAATAGTATTAAAACCAAGAATCAATGTGCAGTATTAAATTAGATTTCATGAGTAGATATTTTGGGCAGAAGAACACTTGTTCTGTTTGCTACCTTTTATAGAGCAGAACAGAAAACCACCAAAGAGGTATCAAAGTCACATTGAACATTCCTTATTCCTCCAATCTAAGGCTGCTGCCAAAAGGAGGACTCATTTAGTCTCACCTGTAAGGTCAGTTCATAGCTCTGAGAGATATTTAGCCTCCCCACTCTCAAAATGTTTGGAATGGTTTAACTCAAAGGCATGGCCAGGTAATGAAAAGATACAAGGCGAGAAAGGCAAACCAGGGAAGGGCAGGCCAGGCTCCTCAACAGCCCACAGTGAGTGATCAAACTCATCACACAACTGCAAACCTCTCTACATCAGAACCTGGAAATCAATATTCTGCATTTCAATACCAGATGCCACAGTTTAATTACTTAAATCTGGGGTTAAGAGTAACAGGTTACTTACAACACAGTGAACATGCGGCTTGACTCTGCAATCAAAAGTTGCTGTCTTCCCATAAACACAGGAATAGTTTGTGTTACATGTCATGCAGTCTGGTGGCAGCCTACTGCAAAGCCCATTGCTGGGACAGTTAGTCAGGTAAGGTGGAATTTCTGTACTTTCTGAAAGGTGCAATAAGTGAATTAAGAACATGGGTAAAAAAAAGCTAAATAGTCTGAAGTATTTATATACATTATTTTATACATACACATAGACAAACACATGCACTGACACTGTATAAAGGGCTTTCCTCACTATACATGGAGCAGCATTCCCATCCTGTGCTGTGAGAGCCAGAGGAGCCACAGGGCTCTGTGCAGGACAGCAGGCAGCACTCCAGCACAGCACCAGGACTGAGCTGATGGGGATTAGTGTTGCCTCAGCCAGCGCTCCTCAGCAGAAGTAATCACTTCAGGAATAGCAGCAGCTGACATGGGTAACCTACTTGGAGTTGAGCTCTAATTAGGGCTACAGCTACCTCAGCCATTTGCTGTTTGCACGTGTACAGAACCACCTCCTAAACTGCCAGCAAGAACAGAATTTCTGTCAGTCCTGGTGCACCCTCAGCAAGCTACAAAGCTGTACTGATGGTGGACAGGGAGAAAGTTCTTGCAGGATGCTATAGTCTTCCAAAAGCTTCCACCATCCTGAGGGGTATAAGCCACACACACCACCATGGTACTTTAACCTACCATTTTCTAGTTCTTATACAGACCAGTTTTCTAATTAGATAACCCAAAATAATTGGTGGGGTCATTATAGAGTAATTCATAATGTGTTACACTGCAACACTTCTTACCACTGTGGAATCATGTACAGGTTTCTAAGACCCAGTTTAAGAACTTCTGGACTCAAGACTGAGAAGGATAACAACCAAAAGAAACATAATAACTTACCTACTGCTTTAAAATAGGGAGCATTTGTACTCGTTGAAGTTAGGCTTTTTGCCAGTGTAGACTGTGGCTGTGAAAGCTTTGTCGTCATCAAAGATCCCGCTACAAGACAAAAACAATGGAGAAAGTGACATTTCTAAAACAAACTTCATCTTCAGAAACAGTTTGATTTCAGCACTCTTATATGAATACGCAAGTGGAAAGTGTAATGAGATTAGAAAAAAGTCTGTTTTCCTGTTCTACTAATAGTGGGATATTTATTTTAAACATTAGAAAGAGCATTAGAATGCAGCTGTTCCTTTAAGACAAGGAACTACATTTATTTCCATTCAATCTTATTTTTTGATTCATGAGAATTAAAAGCACTGCTCAGAAAGCGTATTTTACACAGAGTTTTCTACTGAACAATAGCATTTAATGAAGCAATGCAAGCAGTTATTTGACAGAAGGATGGAGCAGAGGAGCCGCTCGGGAGGCACGGCCGTGTGCGTGCGGGCGCTGCGCGCTGCTCTCTGTGAGAGCCGCCGGCTGTGGGCTGGGACAGCTCCGATGCGCCAGCTGCGCCGAGCCCTCACCCCGGCCACCGGGCACGGTGGAGGAAGGAGAGGCGGTTTTGTCACACAACCCACCCTGACCGTGCCGGGGAGCTCGGGACAGCCGCGATGCGCCAGCAGTGCCGAGCCCTCAAGGCGGCCACCGGGCACGGTGGAGGAAGGAGAGGCGGCTTTGTCACACCACCCCACCCCGACCGCGCCGAGGAGCCCCAGGACGTTTTCAATCACACACGTTAGCGACAGAGAGCAGGTACAAAAGGTGCTGTGTAATAGAGCAGCACACGAGCCGGCGAGCGGGGCCTGGCCCATCTTCTGCCCTCACACCGAGCGCCTCAGCCCGAACCCCGCAGAACCGGCACAACGAAATGCGGCCATGCCCAAACACCCGCTTCGCCCTCAGTCAGGGAAGGGGCAGCGATCCTCACCCCACCGCGGGCACCGCCACCTCCGCAGCCGGACCCGCGCTCAGTCCTGGCCGCAGGAGCAGCCGTCCCCACCCCAAGCCCAGCCGGAGCCTCTGGCCCTTCTCCCACCCCCGCCGCCCTGTCTCGGCCCTGTGGCCGCGCTCACCGCGGCCCGAGAGGATGGAGAGCTGTGACAGGAACAGCGCGGCCCCGCA